GCCCTGCCCCCGGCGCTCTGGCCGCCGGGGGGAGAGCCGAGCCCCCGCCGAGGCTCGCCGCCCTCCCCCCGGGGCTCCGGCCACCCTCCCCCCTGGCGCCCTCCCCCCGGCCGCCAGGGGGAGAACGGAGCCCCCGCCGGGGCTCGCCGCCCTCCCCCCCGGCGCCCTCCCCCCGGCCACCGGGGGGAGAGCAGAGCCCCCGCCGGGGCTCGCCGCCCTCCCCCCGGGGCTCCGGCCGCCCGGCCCTGTCAATGTTCATGCTCTGGTGCAGCACACAACATCACACTGATTAAACTTTTTCTTACTGGGGTGAAGTCTTTTAACTCACACCGTCAGCTCCAGGAATCAAATCTGACCAAGTGTCAGGAAACCCTCAGACGTCTGTAGGCCAGGCACGAAGGCAGCTCCCCTTCCCCATTCAATTAGTACAGGGGTTCTCAAACTGAGGGTTGGGATCCCTGAGGGGGTCACAAGGTTATTACCTGGGAGGTCGCAAGCTGCCAGCCTCCACCCTAAACCCCACTTTGCCTCCAGCATTTATAATGGTGTTAAGTATATAAAAAAGTGTTTTTAATTTATTAGGGGGGGGGGGTCACACTCAGAGGCTTGCTATGTGAAAGGGGTCACCAGTACAAAAGTTTGAGAACCACTGGATTAGCAGGAATGGCTTAGCCTCCTGCTCTGTCTCGGGTGGGGGAAGGGAGTCTGACTCTAATCCATTTGGAGGGGAGGCAAGTGGGGAAGAGAGGTGATTTCTGTACATGTGACCCTAAGAAACTGCCCCATTTAGTGCTGATCCCCAGAGGGACCTTGTCCAGGCAGCCATGGAGGGGATTATCAAACTGGCCCTAATGAGGGACAGGGGGAGGCAGGAGCAGGAAGGGAAGAAAGGGGGCATTGAAATTTGCTTGCCTCTCTCAATGCATTAGGAAGGCTTAAGGGATCCTTGTCAGAAAGTAGGCTCCATTTGTCTTTCCAAAACACCTCAGGTTTAGTGGGTAGATGTTTGCGATTTAGTGGGGATTACTGCCATGTATCTGGTATTACATAAGGCCTAACTGAAAGCTCAGCACAGCTCCTTGCTACACTCTTGAGTGGAGGAGGAAGCTTTAAAGTGAACAGTGCTTGGCAATCTCTGTGCTGACCTTCTCCTGCCCTGCACCATCCAAAGCTAAAGAATCATGGTGCAAGGGTCTTGTTTCTACAGCACCTAGCACAGTGGGGCCCTGGTCCATTCCTGGGGCCCCTGGGCGCTATTGCTATACAAATATTGTGCGTGGGATGGGCAAGAGCATCCTTATTAAGGCATGATCCTTGCATTAATCCTCAATCCTTGCATCACCTATGTGTGATCCCATCACCTATTTGTGATCCTTGTATTTTTGCTGCTATGGATGAGGGACAGAGAGTGTGGGAATGACTGGAAGTGTTGCTGGCAAGGGGAGCAGGAATGGTACCATTTCTAATCCTTCTCAAATTGGAACAGGCACGTGATGTCAAACTAAACTTAGTTGTTGTCCCTCATTGGGAGAAGACTGCCTACCAGGCCTGAAAATCTATAAGGTATATATATATACCTTTTAGAAGAAGAAACAGGATCTAGTGATCAAGTTACTGGACTAAGAATGGGAAAAAAAGAGCTAAATTCTAATCCTAGCTCGTGTGACTCATTTCCCCTTGCTGTGCCTCAGTTTCTCCATCTATGCAACAGGTATAATACTACTTAGGAACCACAGGGGTCTTGTAACGTTAATTATTGTTGATAGTGCACTTTGAGTTAGATGGCACCAGAGAAAAGCAAAAGGTCATTAGAACCAAATTTACCTCTGTCCCAAGCCAAACTTGCTGTTCCTCTTTCTTTATTGGGGAAAAATGGTTAAATTATTGTAATAAATTATTTTTAGGAATTTTTTGTTCAACCCTGATACCAACACACTACAGAAACCTGCTAGAAGATAAACCCTATTGCACCCCAACTGATCTTCATGATAGAATATCAGGGTTGGAAGGGACCTCAGGAGATCATCTACTCCATCCCCCTGCTCAAAGTAGGACCAATCCCCAGGCAGTTTTTTGCCCCAGATCCCTAAATGGCTCCCTTAAGGATTGAACTCACAACCCTGGGTTTAGCAAGGCAATGCTCAAACCACTGAGCTATCCCTCCCACTGTAGTATATGCCCTTGGCAAGCTTTCATCTCAGAGGGCTCTGCTGTTTTATTAAATCTATTTTAGTATCGGCATGGCAAATCTATTCCTGTCATTGGTAACTCAATGACCCTGCTGTGTTGAAATGTTAGGGGGGAAATGTACAGCATGGGCATGGTCAGAAAACTGTTCACCCTGAGAGCTGCTTGAATTACTTGTAAACAATTTATCCAGCACATTTTCCCCTCAGTTATCAAATATAAATTATTCACAAATCACTGTTTTTATTATTCTAGTAGATTTATTTTACTGTGCAGATCTGCACCATGTGCTTCTTAGACTTCCATCTTCTGGCTTTGCTGTCAGTCCAGCAGAGCCAGTTCTGATATGGGAAAGTGAGCTGGATTCCATCCTCCATTAACATGCCGACACATTCTGAGTCTAACAACTCAGATCCTCATGAGATGGCCAGTAAGCAAGTCAAGGCAGGATTGAGGCCTGTGTCTTTTATTCACCAGCAACCTAGGCTGGATCTGAATCGGTGGCCTAAGGGTGAAAAGCTCAATGTCCCAGTCTGCTCTCGTGTGGGATTTTAAATGGCAGCAGAACTTCTCTGCTGTTGTGCTGAACCAGATGTTTTAAAGGGTTTATAATCAGGACTTGTTTGTTCTTTGTAACTTCATGATGGCTAGATCTGTTGTGGCCTTTTTAGATGTGGACAGTATATGTTGCTCTGGCATGAACCTCCTCTTTCACTTCGCTCTGTTAGGGAAGACCTGCGAGAACTGGAAAAGTCCAACAGGAAGTGTTTTGGTGCCTCAGCAGGTAGCAAGCATGGAACAAGTCCTTCAGCCTGAGGTTAGAGGGTGCTGGTTACAGTTAAACTATCTCAGGGCTGGCTACATTACAAAGTTACGTCGGTTTCACTACGTTGTTCAGTGATGTGGAAAATGGCATGCCCTGTGCAGTGTAGTGAGCTAACCTAAGTGCCAATGTAGACACCACCAGTTTGACAGAATAATTCTTCCATTCATCTAGCTACTACCTCTCTGAGCAGTGGATTTACTAGAGCAACAGAAGAACCCCTTCTGTCTCTGTATTAAGGGTCTATGCTATAACACTACAGCTACAGATTTAAAACAGAACTCTGGGTCTTTTGTGGTTAGTCACATATCCCATGGATTTTGTGGTCATTCAGTATCCCAGGGCTCTCACTGCAAGATTAGGAGTGCTAGCAAATGTCCCTCAGTAGTAATTGCATTCTGGATTATTTAAAATCCCCCTTCAGGTTTCATTTGGAAAAGTTCTTCACTTCATCACCTACATGTGTAGTGTTGCTATGCACTGTTAAACTGCTGCTGTGCTCCATCTCAGAGGTGGCTGCATTTTGCAGATTGAGGAAATGAACCTTATATACACACCCTGTCAGATTCATTCATTAACTTTAGTGGAGTTATACCAGGCATAAGTTTGGCCTGTAGTCAGTAATACACTTTGGGATGCTTTGAGCTGAACAGGCCATATGAATATAAGTCATTAGGTCTCTGACTTGGGCATGAAGGGAAGGGGTGTTCGTTCCTCTGATGTCTTCAGTTCACTGCAAGGCTTTGTGCATGTCGAGGTGGATGTACCCCTGCTGTTACGCTGAGTGGTTGTTTTTTCTTCTTCTTTCTTAGTAAAAGCAGCTCAGATGTTGAGAAGAAATGGGAAGCCCAGGGGGTGACTCATGTGTCCTCTGAGCCTACGCACTCTCCGACCTGGGAGGAGAAGGTGACCATGGAGATTGATGCAGAAGATGCAGGCCATGAAGGTATGGTTTCTGAAGAGAGCTGAATAGTGGGTAGTGGTGAGGGAAAGGTGAATATCAGTGAGATGGCCTGATTCTCCAGTCACTTACACCTGTGCTAATGCGACCAGCTCAGAACCATCCCACTGCACATTTGCTAATGACTTCCCAAAGCAAGGCACTTAGGAATCAGGCCCCTTAAGTGTAGCTATGTATACAATTGTTAACTATCCTTATGTTTCAGGGCATGAGCTGATCATCAGCTAGGGACAGGAAGAAATTCCACCCAGGACATACGGTTGCAAAGTTAAGCTCTCATATAGAACTTTTCATCAATAGATCTCAAAGTACTTTACAAAGGAGGTCAGTCTCTTGATCCCCATTTTACAGATGGGGAAACTGAGGCACAGAGCTGTGACGTGATTTGCCTAAGGGCACCCAGCATGCCAGTGGTAACCATGGAAATAGAACCCATGTCTCCTGAGCCCCAATACAGTGCCCTACAAGACAGAAGTTCAATACAGTTTTATATTCTGGTTTTGGAAAGAATCAGGATGGTGTGCTTAAGAACATAAGAACGGCCATACTGGGTCAGACCAATGGTCCATTTAGCCCAGTATCCTGTCTTCCAACAGTGGCCAATGCCAGGTGCTTCAGAGGGAATGAACAGAACAGGGCAGTTACTGAGTGATTCCTGTCATCCAGACCCAGCTTCTGACAGGCAGAGGTCTAGGGACACCCAGAGCATAGAGTTGCATCCCTTACCATTTGGACTTATGTTATTATTGCATCCACACTTGTAGTGCAAGTAGCACATTGATAGTAGTGGGTAAAGCCAAATAGGGTTCAGGCATATTATGCACACTTTCCTCTGAATTCCCACAGTGCACCATAAACTGTGTACTCATCCTCCTACTCCACCCCTGTCTCCCTCACCCAGCCCTGCTAACACTGCTCAATGCTGACTTGCCACAATCTTCTGTTGTAGTTCTGGGTCCTCATTCAGGTCTGGGTCTGATTTTTAAAAATGCTGAGCACCCACAACTCCAGTTGAAGTCAATGAGAGCTGTGGAAGTTCCGCGCCTCTGAAAATCAGCCCCTGTAAATGGGCCCATGAATAGCTCTGCCAACGCACTTCAGTCCTATTATGAAACAGTGTTCTGGGAGTCCCCCATAGCTGTGGAAATCCATTCCTGTGGATCTGCAGCATACCTGCTAATCCATTCCTAGCTCTGCACACAGCAATGTCAGTGTACCTGAATCCTGACCTGGTATGGTTCCAATCTCAGCACCCACCACAGCTTTGCCAGTCCCCCTCAATTCTGTTCCACAGCATGCCTGATTATTTTTCAATCATTACTAATTAGAAGCTTCCCTGCTGCAGTGATGGTTAAGCCTTGTGGCTTGATTGTTCCAATCACAATGTAGTTAAGTATACAGTTATAATAATGTTAATGGCATTAGAGTTTGTGATTAGATTAAAATCAGATGCTTGCAAAATGAATGCTGAGCCCGAGTGGAAATTAGTCATAGCATTACATGTAATTCTATTAATGCTGCTGCTTAAGTGAAATGAAAAACATTTGATGTACTTACTGTACTTAACTGCCTTAGGCTAACAGGAAATGGGGGTGCAAAGAGAGACTAAAATAGCTGCCAGATCCTCCTCTGGTGAAAATCAACATAATTCTGCTGACTTCAGTGGAGTGACACCAGCTGAGGATCTGGCACTCTTTGTGTGTAACTATATCTATATATGCTTGGAGATGAGATATATAGCATAAAACTATTGCTGTTTGGGTTGTTGGGTTGGTTTGATGATGTTTGGTTGATGTCAGGAATAAGCCTTTACTGGCTTTAAAGCCTCTAAATGTGGGTATGTATGACCCTATCTTAGTCACTGGCCAGTCAAATTATTAGGGTTTTTTTCTACCAAAACCTATTGCCCCAGCAAGGACAATACTGCTTAAAAATATTGTAGCCCACATGATCCTGTTTCAGATAAGAGGCAGTGCAAGGCCTCAATCCTCTACTGAGCTCCATAGGAGCAAACACCAGTGTGTGCAAGTGCCCATTGCAGGATTAGGGCACAAGGTCAATATCTTCAAGTGACTCGTCATTTTGGGTGGCTCTGTTTTTGGGATACCTTCAAGGGATCTGCTTTTCAGAAAGCACTAAACACCGGCCCTCAAAATCATACCCCTTGAAGTGACCCTGGAGTGACAACATGGCTACAGGTTTTGATACAAAACAGTCACTCCCATTTAAAGAGCCACATACACTTGTATACAGTGAGAGAGCAGTACTGCTGAGGTGTGCAGTGAGGGCTTAACTGTGAAAGGTGCAGAGCACTCTGACCTGATCCAGCAAAGCATTTAAGCTTGTGCCCAACACTAAGCACATCAGTAGCCCCATTGGCATTAATGGGATTATATATGTGCTTAAATTTAAGCCTGGGCTTTGCTGGTTGAGTGTTCAGCACCTTGCAGGACCAAGCCCCGTCAAGGTATAAGGCAAGAATGCACAAGAATCGTAGTCCTGATACATTTCTGTCTTGCAGTGCTTCCTAGATGTGTATTATCCCACTTAGAAAGGAGAGGTATTTATAATCCCCTGATTGGATTAATTTTGAACCATTTGTGGGGAGTGTAATTATCCTTCTTATCTATCGTTGGTACTTCTGTACCCCCTCGTCTTAGTTTCTGAGCAACTCCCCATCTTCAATGTTTTTATCCTCCCAATAGCTGAATATGGCAGGGCTGTGCTGTTATCTCCATTGTACACAGTGGGAATTGAGGCACCCAGGGTCCCACAGGGGAGTCTGTGGCAGAGCAGGGAATTCAACCCAGCTCTCAACTCCCAGGCTCTCCCCCTAACCCTTGGGCCTTTCTTCCTCTCATCTTATCCTAGTTTATGTGATGGTGACTTGTTAAGCTCTGGGTTTTCAAATCGTTTTTCAAAATTACTTTTAAATGACTCAGAGCACCACACCCTCTTGGGTGCTGAGGATCTGTTCCCTGCTCTTGAGTTTTGTCTTCCATCCCAGTCACAAGTCTCTAGCCTCAGAGATACTGGTGTTGGCAACTGAATTTGCTCCCATTGGAGAAAAAATGGAACCTTTGGACTCATACCTGCAAGGAGCTCCCCGTGGAAATGCAATAACTTTAGCAACCAAGGACTTCTGTTTAACAAATCTGATTGCGCTCTGTTTGCAGGCTATCCTGAGCCCAGTCCTGCAGATCTTTCTCAAGCAAAACTCCTGGAGCATATCTACACTTGGAGCTAGGGGTGTGATTCCCAGCTGGAGGAGACAGACTGTGCGAGCTCTGATAGTGCTAGTCTCTTAAAATAGAGTGTAGCCACGGCAGCATGAGTGGTGGGATGAGCTAGCCACTTCAAATGCATGCTATGTTTGGGAATGTCTATGTACTCAGGGCAGTTAGCCCATCCTGCCGCTCCACTCCTTGAGCTGGGATTTGCCCTCCAGCTCCACGTGTAGACATAGCTGATAAGAAGTGCTGTTCCAGAGGTGGGTGGGTGGTTGGATAGCTAGTTAGATAAAACACATGAAGATGCACCCTTCCTAAAGCCCTGCCATCACTTTAAAATGATACAGTCAAGTAGCCAGGTCAACCACTCTGCTCTACAAAAAGCAGCTGTCATCAAAGAAGGCAGCTCAAACCAATACCTTCCACATCCAGCCCCAACCCTCAGGGAGGTGTGTGCATGTGCAGGTAGGAACTCGGTGAGTTGCTGTTTTAGAAGGCTTGATCCAGTAAAGCACACGAATAATTCTAGTGACTTCAGTGAGGCTATTTGCATGCTTCCAGTTCAGCATGTGCTCAAGTGCTTTGTTACGTTGGGGTCAGAGTGTTCAGCACCCTGCAGGATCAAATTGTAATGAACATACACTAGAGTAAACTATTTTGCCATGATTTAAAGTATTTTCTGTTTTCTCAGCCTTCTATTCTCTTTCTTTTCCTCTGTGGCTGGGTTCTTGCCTCTCTTCTACCCAAGATATGAGGAGTCCAGTGCTTAATTTGTGCCGCGGCTTGCCAGGCCTGAGCCCCGGCACCTCTAGGCTTGGCAGTTCATAGTCCGGCACCTCTGGGTTTGCTGCATCAGTTATGAATGTAAAATAATTGCTTGAGCCCCAACACCTCTTTCATTACAAAGTAAGCACTGGAGTAGTCACCTCATTTACCATCCTGTTTGCACTCTGAGGGCTCACCAAGGGGTGGAGTGTGATCCGATATCAAAGATGACTAGTGGAACAGATTGGCTTCAATGTGGGACAGAGTGTTTTACCACTTACAGCTTAAATGGCAAGTCCTTTCTCTTTCCACAAAGGTCTCTGAGAAAAACAATCTGCATATATATTGAGCTGTCTTTTAAAAGTAACAGCAGAAAAACTTATAACTCCAGTCAGAGGATGGAAAGGCAGGGAGAGAGGAGACTCTATTGCCTCAATTCAGCAATCTATGCCTATTTGGCAAAGCACTTCAGCACGTGCTTAACTTTAGGCATATGCTTAAGGTTAAGTGCTTTGCTGAACTGGGATGGACTTAAGCACGTGCTTCAATGCTTCACTGCACTGGGGCCTTGGGGAGAGAAGAGTTAAATTGTCCATCAGTGCAATCAGTAATTAGGCTGGTGGTAGGGAGAGCTAAGTGTAAATGGCAACATAACAAGATGTGGGGTGGTTTTCATTGATTTGCCTTTGACAAAGGAGTCAGGTTTGTGGTTTTCTCCCTCTGGTTCTTCTGGGGGCACCAGACATTGCTGTGATACCATAGGGTTAAACTGGGGTCACTGAAGGGGTTAAATCAGTGGTTTATCAAGGAAGGTGAAGAGGGATGTGCGAGGGGGGTTATCCCTTCAGGGAAAGTGGCAGCAGGCTGTTGCTGTGATGATGGGGGTGAGCAGAAAGCAAGGCCAAGTTAATGATAGGGGAGGCAAGATTCCATTCTTCGGGTGACAGGTCTAACATGCCAAACAGGCTTCTCCACTCCTTCAAGTGACTTGAGGCACAAAGGAGCCCTACCAGAGGAAGACAAAGCTGGGAGTTAATGAGGCATGTTTCTTTCATGGAGACACAAAGCGAGGGCCTCCCCTGCCTCAGAGCTGTCTAATCAGGTCAGTGAGCTCTCACAATGCAGCTGAGCTTGGCCTGACTTGTGCATTAGGGCAGGAAATGGGGTCCGGCTGCAAGTATTGTATCCTCCAAGCCATTATCAAGCTTCATGCTTCCCTAGCGACTGATGGGATTCAGTTTGCATGGCCTCCCCAGAGCAGGGCTTTCAAGGGAAATGGCCTGTAGCCATCCCTGCTCTGGGCTGGGAGCCAGCATGGTGTCCATTGTAAACAGGATCTGGACTGGGTAGGATCTCAGAGGAGACGCCTGCTTTAGAAACCACCAAGAAGTGGTGTTGATAGCTATCTTCCCTCTGAGTCAGCATTGTTCAGTGCCCCAATGGGGTATTGTACTGTCTGAAGTGCTGGCTTTTGGATGGGACATAAAACAGGCCCTGAGCACTGATCACCCTAAAATACGCCCAAGTGCTGTTTCAAAGAGTTGAGGTGTTGACTCTGGAATCCTGACCCAGTTCCAGGGTGAGTAATTCCATTCTGCATCCCTACACTGCCTGCTAGCCCTGCAAGTACCTACTTTTCTGGGCACAACCAAGTCCCCTCCTAACAATGTGTAAAACTGTAGTCCAGCTATGCAGCAAGGGGCGTGCTTCTCTTACCAAGTAGGAGCTGGGTGGCTGATGGAGGGATCCCTGTATAACTGCAAAGCACTTTGGGAACATCCGAGGTGAAAGGCACAAGTGCAAGGCAAGGCCCTGGAGCAGTACTGTTATAACCAGAGAATCATGGAACCATGGGGCAGAAGGGACCACAAGGGTCATCTAGTCAAGATGCAGGATTTGTGTCTAAACCATCCAAGACAGATGGCTACCCAGCCTCCTTTTGAAACCCTCCAGCGAAAGAGCTTCCATGACCTCCCTAGGCAGTTTGTTCCACTGTCCTACTGTGCTTACAGTTAGGAAGTTTTTCCTCAGATTTAAGTCTACATCTGCTATGCTGTAGTTTGAACCCATTGCCCCTTGTCCTGCCCTCTGTGGTAAAAGAGAACAACTTTTCTCCACCTTTTTTATGGCAGACTTTCAAGTATTTGAAGACTGCTATCATATCCCCCCTTAATCTCCTCTTTTCCAAACTGAACATACCCAGTTCCTTCAGCCTTTGCTCATATGGCTTGTGTTCCATCCCTCTGATCATCTTTATCACTCCCCTTTGATCCTTTCCAGTTTTTCTGCATCCTTTCTATACATTGGTGACCAAAATTGGACACAATACTCCAGCTGAGGCCTAACCAGAGCTGAGTAGAGTGGTACTATCACCTCCCGTGACTTGCATGCTATGCCTCAGTTAATGCAACTGAAAATTTTATTTGCTTTTTTTGCAACAGCATCACATTGCTGATTCATGTTGACGTTGTGATCCACCACAACTCCCAGATCCTTCTTAGCAGTGCTGCCACTAAGCCAGTTTTCACCCATCCTGTATTTGTGCATTTGGTTTTTCTTCCCTAAGTGTAGCACCTTACATGTGTCTTTGGTGAATTTCATTTTGTTGTCTATAGCCCAGTTCTCCAATTTATCAAGATCCCTTTGAATTTTAGCTCTATCATCCAAAGTATGGGCAACCCCCCCAGCTTTGTGTCATCTGCAAATTTGATCAGTATGCTCTCTATTCCGACAGCCAGGTCATTAATAAAGATGTTAAATAACACCAGACCCACATTAGACCTCTCATGGAACCCCACTTGAGACCTCCTTCCACTCTGACATCATTCCTTTAATAGTTACTCTTGGTTTGTGGTTGTTTAATCAATTATGTATCCATTTAATGGTAATTCTGCCAAGCCCGCATTTCTCCAACTTACTTATCAGAATGTCATGTGGGACTGTGTTAAAAGCCTTGCTGAAGTCCAAGTATATTATGTCCACCGCATTCCCCCATCCACCAAACCAGTTACCCTGCCAAAGAAGGAAATCAAGCTGGTTTGGCATGATTTGTTCTTAGTAAATCCATGCTTCCTGGTAATGATCACCCCTCCATCCTCCAGGTATTCGCAAATGGGATGTTTTATACATTGCTCTAGTAGCTTCCCAGGTATTGAGGTCAGGCTGACTGGTCTATAGTTCGTTCCCTGGCTCCTCCTTTTCCCCCTTTTTAAAGATGGGCACTTTCTCCAGTGTTCTGGGACCTCTCCTGTCATCCTTGAGTTTGCAAATATTATTGCCAGAAGCTCTGAGATTTCTTCAGCTAACTCCTTCAGCACCCTGGAGTGAATAACATCAGGCCCTTGCATCCTAGTGGAGAGGCCCAGGGGATAAATGTGCCTGGGGAATGAACTGCCCTCTCTGCCACAGAGATGGTCAGGGGTGAGGTCTACTGGAGAGGTGGTGTGAGGGGAGCCTGTGGCTGCCCAAACAGCACCAGTTATGTGCCTAAACAGAGGGCTTCATTCCAAGGGCTGCTACTCCAGCACTGAAGGTGAAAAATCCACCTCCCCATGCTGCGGACAGGCTGCATGTCCTTTAGGTTAGGTTGGAACAGCAGCTGCTCCCATGCACCAGTGCCAGGTGGGTATGAGGCCACTGGATGTGTACTTTCATTGCTTGTTCCTCTGCCAGCCATCAGTAGCAACCTCTGCTTCAGTCTGCTCCAAGCCTGTGCAAAAACCCTTCCAATTGGCAGGCAGAACCCACTACGTGGCTGCCTGCTTGTATTCTGCCATGGGGCACGGAGCAGCCCCTCTGCTTTGGGTGATGTTAAATGTTGAGGACATCCCAGGGTCATGCATATGGCGAGGTGCTGTTCCTGGTGCTGAACTAATCCAGGGATGCTCAGGGAAGAGGGAGGAATTGCCAACACTGGACTCTCATTCCGATGTATTTATTTTAATCACACAGAGCTTGTCTGTGCTGGAGTTTTTCATTGGGCTTTAACTCCCTCGCCCTTTGTGATTTCTGGAGTGGATGGGATGTGAATGTTTGCATTCTGTCAACACTAGCCTTTACCGTTGTGTTAGCTGACACATGTTAAAACACAATTACAAACCCCATGTGACATGTCTTTAACAGCCCTGACTATGGTTTACATCGTGGCATAAAGAAGCCTCACATGGGGGATGGAGGAGGTATAAAGGGCCATCATGGCGGGTTCTTCAACCAGTGAAGAACAGCTTCATTCCCAGTCTCAGGTGTAGAGCTGGTGCAGGAGGCATGGAGGAGAAAGGCTAGGATTTGGCTATTCTTGCCTGGCCAAAGAGCTCATAGACCAAAACGTTTGCAGCCATGGAGCATATAATAATTGTCATCAAAGCTCATGCTTCAAGGTATAAGCTGATCACTTGGGAGGGTCAGGAAGGAATTCTCCCTCATCCCACGTAAAGGACTTCATGGTTGTCTACATGCATTATAGCAGTTTCTCACTTCTCCCTGAACTACTAAGTACTGGCCATTGCCAGAGACAAGAAGGCAGATTGGATGGATCGAGGCAAATCCTATATTCTTAAAAAAAATCTAAACCACATTTGTACCAGCTTTTCAAGGGCTTCAGTGTCAGGCCTCTCTGACAAACCTGGAATATGGACTTTGTTCCTTCTCAATATTGTTTAACCCACAGGGGTTAGATCCATTAAAGCCAGTGCCTCAGTCTGGGCCTGAGTGCCTTTGGGGTGTTCTCCCTAAGGGAAAGGTGGCACTGCCAACCTCTCTCAGGGATTTCTGATGGGGGTGGGGAGCTGGTTGGTTACAGACAGGGCTCTATAGGAGCCCGGTTAGTGAAGGCTGCTGCAGAGATGCACAGAATCAGAACATCTCCCAGCCCCCGTGGATACACCCCTTCCTTCCTGACCACCCCTTTTGGAGCAGGGCTGGCCCCCTTCACCCCTCTTGGTGGAGAGGAGGTTGCAGCTTCTTGCAACACCACAACCCCTCCACATCCTGGCAGACTTTCTGCTGCCTCCTCTAGTGATGACAGATCCTGGGGTGAATCTGGCATCTTGTCTTCAAACACCAGCCTTGGTCAGCAATGTGGAGTAGTTCTAAGCCTCCCCTAAGTCCCTTATTGTACTTGCTTATGTGTATTTCTGCTCTTTCCCTTCCAGCTGTGATCCTGACTGTGGCCGACAAAATCACCAAGGAGGTGCTAGTGAGCTACAAGATTCCTGTGAGGTACCTCCGATCGTTTCACCACTACCACTTGAGACTGGTGCTGGTGAGCATTGGCCAACTAATTTGCACCCTGAGACATGTGGGTATGGGGGAGTCAAATTGTTTCACTGCCACTTCATCCATCCATTCGTCCATCGGGCAGGCAGTCTGGATTTTCTGTCAGTCTGCACCTGTTGTCCCTTGTCTTATACTTAGATTGGCAGCTTTTTGGGGCAGAGACTGTCTTTTGTTCTGTGTTTGTGCAGCACCTAGCACAATGGGGTCCTGGTCCATGATGGGCTCCTGGGACTTACCGCAATATAAATAATAAAAATTAGTAATCATAAACTTACGCTGCACACATCCCATGCTATCTAATTCCAGGCTTCTAAACAAACAGACTTGCACAAGACTTGCTTAGTTTGAGTTGGCTGAGGTCAGGTAAAGGAAATCTTGTGTAACCATTGTAATCCCCACTGGGAAACAGTTTAGGATTTTCAAAGTCTCACAAGTTGGAGAATGCACTAAAGGAGACAAGCAAATAAAGTGCCCCTGGGGCCTCTTTAGAAGAGAGAAATAATGTGTTTTTTTTCTCCTGGAAATGAGTGTGTTAGGAAATAATGAAAAATGATGTCAAACTCTGAAGTGCCCTTTCTAATTTGGCCTCCTGGGAGACAAGAACACAGGTGAGACTGAGATTTACAACAGTGCAAGCAAATCCCAGCACTCTGCCCCTTCCTAGTGCTGTTCTTCCAAGGACCCCAAAGGGCATTGTAAATATTAATTAAATAATCCCTAGCTCTCATCAATAGATCTCAAAGAGCTTTATGGAGGAGGTCAGCATCCTTATCCTGATTTTACAGATAGGGAAACTGAGGCACAGAGAAGGGAACTAGTTGCCCAAGGTCACCCAGCAGACCAATGGCAGAGTCAAGACTAGAACCCAGGTCTCCTGTGTTGTAGACACAGGTTCTCAAACAGGTTTACAGAGAACTCGCTGGGGATCTGTTGAGAGCTGGTTCTGTGTGGTTGGCTCCTTTGCATGTTTCCAGCTTATATGTTGCTGTAAACAAAGCTAAAATACAGTGTTTCTCTAATATTACTTCTCCGTGTAAGCCCTTGCTGAACCTGTCACAGGGACGTTAGACAATTATGAGTGGAAGGGGAGGCAAGGACTGCATGCAGGTGAATGGGACAGGTAGTGAGGGATGCACAATTGGGAAGGGAGATGGGGATGGGGGGGAAGAAGGGGCTGAGTGAGGGTATGAGGGAGGAGAAGTGGGGGACTGGGTGGGGGCATAAAGGAGGGGAGGCAGGGCCTAAGTGGGGCATGTGGAAAAGGCGGTGGGGGCCAGGTGAGGGCGTATGGGAGGGGAGAAGGGGGCTGGGTGAAGGACCCATACTTAGAGTGGCCAGACAAAGTGCATGACGAGCATTTTTAAAAGCTCTGAATTTTTCAAGAGTGGCAGAGCAGGACTTTGTCCCCACTGAACAGCAATAGGAGCCATTTATTGCTGTGTTAGTGAATTTCTCTGTCTGTGTGAAAAACCGTGACCGTTATTCCGTATGCTATTATCCTAATTTGCATAATGAGTGACTTTGCTGTCATGAAATAGGGTGGGCGTATCAATGGAGTAATAACTATTAGCAGGTGCTGCCAGGAGGTGCCTTTATGTGCTCTGTGGTGGTGAGATTACATAGGGAATGGTTTGCTGCATTGGTTTTTCTCATGATTTATTAATGACCTGTATTAGTTATGGTGGAGTTTAGGGAGGAGTAAATTGTTGTGGTATAGCTGTTAAAGAACAGCATGATTGATCTGCACATTATGCTGAGACCTTTTCTTTCGATGTACTTTGTCACACACACACACATGCACAAACACACACACATGCCAGCTGCAGTATCAAAGTAGGGTTATTCATTTACACAATCAAGGGCAGTCGGGCTAGTATCTTCCAGGGACAAAAGGGGACCTCGTTTTCCTCCTCCTCGAATTGGAACACTTGGTCTGAGTCCCTTAGCATAGCCAAGAAGACCTTACTATCTTTTCCTGGATCTCAAGTTTGTCAGAATCTTTAGAACGTTTCAACCTGCCCCAGACCTGCTCTGGGATTTCCACAGTGCTTAGCATCCACTAGAATGAAAATCAGACTCAGGTTAATAGCTATGTCAGTAGCGCATCCATCCTTTGAAATTTCAAGGGCTAAAATAAAGGTAACAACTTCTGTACCTTGGCAAATTTCTGTGCTTTCCTGCTGGGCATTTGTTTTTGGACCAGAGATGTTGAGGACATACAGTTAGAATTCCCAGTGAAGGTACACGAATAAGAATAAGGAGGGTTGCTAGATTATTGTGAAGATTGGGCAATTAAGGGACTGAGCATGTGAGGGCAGCAGTAACTGAGCTAACAAAAATTACTTATTGCAGCAGTGAGAGGACTGTTTGCATCACTGGGGCTGTTATGCCAGCGATCTCTGTTCACCCTGGTGAGGGACTGGCACAGAGAAAGGCCACATAGTGGTTAGCCTTACTCAAAGCGGGACTAATATGCATGATGGTGACGTTGCCTGTGCACTTCTGGGATCATTTGTGAATGCCTGGTGTACTACAAGGTTGTTGTGAGGGCCACACAGCAACTAGCACGCCAGGTAGCTCTGCTGTATATGTGCCCAGAGAGATTACAGTAAATAACCTTGCCCAAGGTCACATAGCTAGTGAGTATCAGAACTGGGGCTGACACTCAGATGGACTGCGCTTGTCCTACACCCTAACCACAAGACGCCCAGCTCCAGAAAGACTAACCTGGCACAGGAGCTGTTCAGCTATTTTTTGTGAGTTAAAGTTGCATCCTCTGAAATATCAGATATTTACACGGCTGTCAAGGGATCATCCTGTTTTCCTCTCAAATGAGCCTTGTTCCTGTTTTCAGACCCATTGCAGACTCACAGAAAAATACAACACAGAATAATGTGGGTGCCATGCTTTATTGTTTGAACGACTGGCAGGAAGGTCCCAATTAAGTAAGTTTCACAGGTAACTCTAGGTGGAACTGAGGCCTGACAAACTCACTTTACCCCAGCCAAAAATTCACACCCCTCTCAGCTAATACAAGTATGTTTCTTCTTCTCCATTCTTCTCCATCCCCTCCCCCACCTCCCGCCACCCCAAGAAGGATCAGGAAGTCAGAGGCCATTGTGTATGCAGATTATTAAATATTTAAATGCAAAAGCAGAACGATTTATTATATTGATCTTATTGGAAAGGCTCCAGGGGACAGTGAGCTTTAATTATCACTTGCTGCTTTATTGTCAGTTATGGCAGCTCTGTGCCACCACACCGCAGCCCAGACTGTTTATATACACAGCGCTTCTTGTTTTATAGTCTGGCACTCATTCCATCCTGTGGTTTTGTCTCCTCCTCAAACAGCCGAGGAAGAAGGACCCCTTGGGGACAAGTCTGTATGCTACGGTTGTTCGTAAAGGCAGCCTCATCCCCCGTTATGTTGGAATGAATTACACCGGCTTGGAGGTAAGGCCTGTACCAGGAAGATAGGAGAGGGATGGATGGTGCTGAGGAGGGGATGCCAGCATGGCCCACAATAGGAACAAGGTGTCTGTGTGTTAGTAGCAATGAGCAACCCTCATAAGGTATGGTTTAGCTGAATGCCTAAAATCTAAGTTCTCTCCAAACTATCTGATCTTTCAATGAGACCTGTTAATAACCACTGACTTTCTAGCTAATATAACACAGTTGATAAACATCGGGGAGCCCTCCCGAGGGACCGAGATTTCACAAGGAGAGTTGGCTGCAGTTAGCGGGTGGCCTGCAGCATATATATCACCATTCTTCCTTTCTCCAGCTGAACTAGAAATACCTGGAGAACAGGCCTTTCTAAGGACCAGCACAAACCTCACCACCTTCCTCTTCAAGGACCAGGTGCACATCTTCATTCTTGCCTGCTCTGGTATAAACACAGAGTGGCATGTCCAAATATAAAAACCCTACCAAAACAAAACACTCCTCTGCACACAAAGTTCTCCCCCTGGGGAATGGATGCGGGAGAGTAAACGACACATGACAGATGTGAATCACGTCACTTAATACAAGGTGCTCAGATGCTACAGTGATGTGGGTGGCATAAGAACCTATATAGAATAAAATAGAATTCTGTATTGGTGTCTCTGGTCCTGTCCAGAGCTTGGAAGATAAGAGGCACATAACATAAGTAAAAGGCATTTTTAAGGAGTTAACTGAAGTTTTCCTAATGTTGAGTTTAGTTCAGTTTGAGTTTTTGGTCAAAGATTTAGGTTTGATGCTTATTTTATTGGAGCCCTTTAAGCCTTACCAAAGGAAGCATGGATATTCCCCAATGGCCCATTTGGAAATCACATCCTTTGACAGTGTTGGGGCTGGAGAAATTGAGCGCAGGTCTCCTAAGCACTAGGCTAGTGCCCTAACCACTGGAACACACTTCCACCCTCATAAAAACATAAGAACGGCCATACAGGTCAGACCAATGGTCCATCTAGCCCAGTATCCTGTCTTCCAACAGTGGCCAATGCCAGGATGCCCAGAGGGAATGAACAGAACAGGCAGTCATCAAGTGATCCATCCCTTGTCGTCCACTCCCAGCTTCTGGCAGTCAGAGTTTAGGGACACCCAGAGCTCTTCAGAACTCTTGGATGAATGCCATCTCGTCCTGGTTACTTATTACTGTTTAATTTATCAGCTTGTTCCAAAACCTCCTCTAATGACACCTCACTCTGGGATAGTTCCTCAGATTTGTCACCTAAACAGAACAAGAAGCAATGGTCTCAAGTTGCAGTGGGGGAGGTGCAGGTTGGCTATTAAGAAAAACTATTTCACTAGGAGGGTGGTGAAGCACTGGAATACCTAGGGAGATGGTGGAATCTCCATCCTTAGAGGTTTTTAAGGCCCAGCTTGACAAAGCCCTGGCTGGGATGATTTAGTTGGGGTTGGTCCTGCTTTGAGCGGGAGGTTGGATTAGATGACCTCCTGAGGTCTCTTCCAACCCTGATCTTCTATGATTCTATAAAAAGAATGGCTCAGGTGTGGGAATCTCCCTCAGATCCTCTGCAGTGAAGACTGATGCAAAGGATTCATTTAGCTTCTCTGCAACAGCCTTGTCTTCCTTGAGTGCTCCTTTAGCACCTTGATCGTCCAGTGGCCCCACTCATTGTTTAGTAGGCTTTCTGCTTCTGATGTATTTTAAAAAAAATTGCTGTTCATTTTTGAGTGTTTGGCTAGCTGCTCTTCAAATTCACCTGATCTATTCTATTCTATATAGATTTTTATACTGTGCTCTAGAACCCTGCAGTGGGACTGTTGTTTTCATGAGTGCTCATATGTCTCCAAATCTATTTCCTTGCCTCTGATGCCTTCTGAGTCTGTTTCTGCTCTTAACCGAGGCTTGTGAGCAGGCCCTCGGTTTCAGGTCCTTCATTCTCTGGCAAGTTCTGACTGAGCAGAGCAGCGTTGAGTGAACATTTCTGGCTGCCCTGAGGGCAGTAGGGAGCAGATAGCAGAGTACACCTGAGCCCAAGCCTGAGCGGTTCAGTGTGGGGTTATTTAATCCCCTGGAGTGGGGCTGTCACTGGTACAATGCACCTTGTCCTCAGTCTGCTCTGCAGACCTTGTGGGGAGATGCCTGCAGGGAGTTGCCAGGGCATGGCAGCCAGCAGCTGAGTTGCTGGCTGAATTGGGTGCTCGTGAAAGTGATGTGCCATTATAAGAGCCATGTAGAGCGTGGGTGGGTGCTGGGCAGGCTTCCCACCCACTACTCTGCCTGTGCCCCTCAACCCAGCCCTGCTGTTACATTCCTGTCCAGCTCAGCCCATGTGTGTCCATCCTGCCCTGTAGCACCCCCTGCTGTTCCAGTGCTGGCCCCTGCATGCAGCAATGCTGATGCACTGCAAGCCAGTGAAATCATAATCCTGAAATCGGGACAGGATAGCCTCTTGCCATGAAAGTGCTCATGATGGCACAACGCTATCTGTATCACTTCACTGTGCACTCAGCTAGGACAGAGATGGGCAGAGGGGCTTGGAAAAAGAGAGCTGCCAGTGGGAATCTAACAAGCTATTCTCAAATTCATTTCACAGTTTATACCTGCCAAAAAGAGCTTTCTCCAGCCCTGCCTTGTTGAGCATGATGTAGCACAATTCATGATTCCCAAGGGCTGGCTGAGCTTTGTCCCTTTTGAGCTGTGCCAGGATCAGTCTGTGCTAGGCTGGCTGCATTATTCTGTTCCTAGGCTGCGCCCTTGTCCCTCCGCCAAGGTGGTGCCATGTCCGCTCACTGGTGCTTGGTATTAACCTTGCTCTTTCCTTGGCTTTTAGGTTTTCCTCCAGGGAATGAAGAATCCTCTAGCAGATCCCCAAGGTCCTATCGTAGCCATTGCCAGAGTGGTGAACAACTTTAATGCATATAGGTGAGTAGGGGGCAAGGGGCACCCTGACAATCACACAGGAACAAAGGAGCCCAGCAGCTGCTAGCATGGGCACAAGAACATATTTCAGAGGTGTGCTGGAAGTGTCAGGATATGTATTGTACACACTCTACTGGGGGGAGCCAGGGTTTGAATGGAAGGAGCAGGAGCAGGGGCGGCTCTATGTATTTTGCTGCCCCAAGCATGGCAGTCAGGCAGCCTTCGGCAGCATGCCTGCGGGAGGTCCGCCAGTCCCACGCCTTCGGCGTACCCGCCACCAAATTGCCGCCGAAAGCAGACCTCCCTCAGGCATGCCGCCGAAGGCAGCCTGACTGCCGCCCTCACAGTGACCGGCAGGCTGCCCCCCCACGGCTTGCCGCCCCAGGCACGCACTTGATGCGCTGGTGCCTGGAGCCACCCCTGAGCAGGATTTAAAGCACGGTTCTATTTTGACTATGAAAATATCTGTGAAGGCTTCACATTTTATTGCCTTTCCACAATCTGCATGTTACATGCACTCCATTCACAGGTAACACCCTGCCAAGAAAGCACTAACTCACTTCTAAGCTGGGCACACCTTGAATATTATCTGCCAGAGTACAGCAGAGTCCACTAGTCCATGTCCACTCTTTGTGGATAAACCGAGGGATACAGAGCAGTCACCTACCATCTTTAAATGTCTCGCAAAATACCTGACCACTCTTTCCCTCCCATCACAGAAAAGCCATGAAGATGCGGCCCTCTGCCTCTCCTGCGATTGATTTAACCACCATCACGTTTCCAGACCCCTCCATGGTGGCGTTCGATGTTCTCCGAGTCACCAACCAAGGATATCCCCAGGTAGGGGGCCAATGTGTCTTTAAGCATTCCTGCTCCTGCCAGAATGGAGAAGGGAGCCATGTGCTGCAGTACTAAAGATACTACATGGATTGTCTTACATGGATTGCTGCACGGAGCTGGTGCCAAAGGTAGTGCTGCCTGGAGTTTAGAAATGGAATCTGTGCTAGTAAAGCATTTGTTCCTCCCTTTTTCCTTGTCTCCCTTTGTCCCCAGCCTTTTTACTGTGCTGCAACCTAATTCCTGCATCTCCCCTTGACTGAGCCTTGTCTGGCAGGAGCTGGAATTAAGGCCCAGCTGGTGGGTATGTATATGTATTGCAGCCCTCCTTGCCAGATGTCTAAATACATTTATTTAACAGCATTAATCACACAAGGAAGAAAACCAGAACTTTCGTCTGTATCTTCCTTCCCCTTCCCCAAATTATTATTAGTTTCCAGCTGGTGAGTTTTGGCCACCAAAAATACATGGCCAGATTTTAGGAAGATCTCACTCTTTGGGTCCATACGCTGAACCCTTTAGACAATCTGTTCATCAGCATCACAATGGGAACTGCTGGGGACTAAGCAGTGTGAAAGTGTGGCCTTTATTATGATGCCTAAGTGGGAGTCCAGCCCCAGGCATTTTGGCTGGAAAGATCATTAAGTGGTCTGCCGAGACCCTCAGCAATTTTCAAGTGGTCCACGAAAAAAAAGTTTGAGAACCACTGTAAGAGTTAGGCTTATAATGCCTCTCTTCGCCCCCTGGATCCCACGGGCCAACACTTGAGCAAAAGAAGTAACTCCATTCACTGATAGCAGTAGTGGTTCAATCACCAACCTGCTCTGTGACATTGGGCAAGGCCTTACTCTGCCCTGTATCTCAGGTCCCCACCTCTGAGATGGGGATAATCCTTCCCTCCTCACAGGAGGGCTATGAGGATAATAATGGGTGTGAGGTGCTCAGATCCTACAGTGATGAGAGCCCTATAGCACCTAGAAAGACTGGTTCACCAGCTCTGACTCATCACCTAGGGCCTTTAGATAAAGCTTAAGCCTAGAGCTGGTCAGAAACATTTAGATGAAACATTTTCTCCACTGGAATCTGCCGAGTCATCAAAATGGAAATGTTCCATAGGAACAGGCTAAGTTCAGTGGGATTCTGAGAGAAATCAGCCAGGCTTCTGATGGATGTCAGCAGGGCCGGCTTTAGGAAGTGCGGGGCCCAATTCCAACAGTTTCGACGGGGCCCCGACAGGGATGACTAAAAAAAAAACAAACACGTGAAAAAAAACACATGGGGCTTGTACTCACCGGGACGCGCTCCTAGTCTTTGGCGGTGGGTCCTTCACTCGCTCCAGGTCTTCGGCGGCACTGAAGGACCCACCGCCAAAGTGCCGCTAAAGACCTGGAGTGAGTGAAGGACCCGCTGCCAAAGACCCAGAGCACCGCCAGGTGAGTAAAAATTAAAAAGGCGCCTCTAGCCAGGGAAGGGATTCTCTGCCACTTGTCCCCCACTCTGGGCGGCCCCTGCCACTGAGTGTGGGGCCCTCTTAGGCGTGGGGCCCGATTCGGGGGAATTGGTGGAATTGGCCTAAAGCCGGCCCTGGATGTCAGCCTGCTTTCCTGCCCTGCTCCTCCACAGCTGGTCTGTTGAGCTGCCATGGAGCCAGATGCCCAGAGCCCTGGGAATCTCAGCTGCCAGGTCTGTGGCTCTCAGCGACCTGGGCTTCCAGGGTCCCTAGCTCTGGAGCAGCCCATCAGGCAAATGGCCCAAGAGCAAGGGCTCCCAGGCTCCTCACTTCTTGCCTGGCTCCCACACTTTCCAACTCTCTCCCACCCCCCCATTCCCCATTCCCCCTGTGGTCTGTCAGGGCTCTGGGCAGCTGTCTCGCAGAGAATTTTGAATGTTTTATGTTTGTTCCAAATGGGAACACAACCCAATTCTGGAATCTCGCAATCCTCCCAAACCAGGATGACCCTTTCTCCACCCAGCACTACACAAGGCACTTTGCTCCCAGCTGGAGGTCTGGCTCTTGCTGATTGCCTCTCTTCCGCCATGGGATCCTCCCAAGGGGATGGAGTCACAGAATTCTTCCTTCTCATGGAGGAAGTGGAGTTAGGGTCTGTCTACACTGCAATGAAACACCCATGGCTGGTCCATGTCAGCTGGCTTGAGCTCGTGGAGCTATAAAATTGCAGTGTTGTTGTTTGGGCTCAGGCTGGGGCCTGGGCTCTGGGACCCTCCCTCTTTGCGGGGTTCCTGAGCTGAGGTTCCAGCCTGAGCCCAAACACCAACACTGCAATTTTACAGCCCCATAGGCCAAGCCCCATAAGCCCAAATCAGCTGACATGGGCCTGCTGCAGGTGTTCCATTACAGAGTAGACATACCCTTAGAGCCGCCAACACGCTTATTAAAGGGCTGGTCCTTCTTATGTTTTGCTGCTTTGATTCTCAGTGGTGACTTGGAGACTGTGTTCATTTCGGGTGCAATCAGTGTCAGGGATAGAATTGACAGGACTCAAGAGCCTGTCTTGAGGGTAGGCTTGTGAGTTTGCTGTACCTCACTACAGGCAGCAGTGAGAGGAGTGGGCCGGGAATAGGTGCCACCATGCAGGGGCGGGGGAAGGGCAGTGAGGGCTGTGCAAATCCCTAAGTCAGTCACACCTGTCAGCCGTGGTCTTGCTCTTAGCAATCAAATTATAAAATGAATCCACAAAGGGAATTCCCCCCTTTTCCTTTAATCAGACTTTGTATATCTTTCCATCACTTAACCTGAGTGCCCAAGCAGGGCATGAGTTAGAGCACAGGGCTGTAAATACGCATGCAATGAGAAATCATGTAGGTGGCATTTTGCTTGGCAGTTTACTAGGGCACTAATCAAAGCTAAGTCTGAAATGATGCCCATACAGCTCTAACAGCACACCTCAGTCCTGATCACTAGTCCCCTCTCCCATGAGTATCAGCCACATCTCCTGAACAGACAGTCATTGCCAACTGGGTGGGGATCCTTGGGATATCCATGGACAGGAGCCTGAGTGAAACCTGTCAAACTCATTTCACTTGGGGGCTAGGCTCTGGGGTGCCAGCCCCCTTTCTGTTGTGATTGGAATGATACATCTATTCCACGTTGCAGTTCTCATTCCAGGCTGTGCCCCTAAATGCTCTCTCTTTGTGGTAGCTTTGGCAGTGCCTTCTGTTTGGTGCATGCTGGCCCAGCTTCACACTGCTTCAGCTCATGCACTACTGCCTGATCCCACCAGCCAGGTGCTCAAAACTCAGCCCAGCTTGGGAACCTTATGATTGTAATGCATTGCCTGGCTCCAGATTTGAGTATGGTTCCTCTGGTAGCTTAGACCTTCCAGCAGACTCAGTTCTTAGACTGGGGTGCTTTCGCCTCCCTGCTGAATCATGGTATAAACAATAGCCTGTCATCTTCTGAGCTGATGGCAAAACCTAGTCTTCTCTAGCTGCAGTCAGCTTCCTTGAGAACAGCTTAACACTGTCCACAGCCACCGCCCTAGTCTAGCTTTCACCACCCCAAAGTAAACAGGAGGGACTCAAGCAACAGTGTTCAGATCTGAATTAGAAACAGTCAGAAATTTGGGGGGGTTGGATCTTGCGCCTTGGTTCTGACCCACCTCTGACAGAAGAATAATACCACAATGATTGCTGAAGGTCACCTCTAGAGCATCTCTGGGCTGCGGAGACCAGCTTTATCTCCCCCTTGCCATCACAGGACTCCCTCCCCTGAGGCAGATTCCCTCCCATCCTTGGTTGGTGCCTGAAGTTTTACTGTAGGAAAGTGCAGAGCCCTTGTTCCTGCCTAGGGGATCCTGGCTGTGGCCTTGCCTGATGAGAAACTCTGACTCTCCTTTCCTGCTGCACATCTTCTCCCCCACTTGTGAAGATCCAGTGTGCAGCAAAATGACTGTGTTCCTCTGCATAAGCCCCAAATGCTGTTTCTTTCTGCAGATCATCAGGGCCACCTCAAACTCCTCCACAGCACAGGTGGAGTTAAGAGAATAGGATGGTCCATCGGCACTTGGAGTGTCTCAGTGCTGCAGTGCAGAGGGTGAGCAGGGCTGCCAATCAGAAGCCATCCAGCTTGAGATTGTGTGCCTAGACCTTCAGAAACATACTCATCAAAAGCACTTTCTGTTTTGGTTCCAGACAGGGGCGGGGGGGGGGGGGAGAAAAACAGCATCTTCCCCTCCCCTATATGGCAGATCTGGACATAAGGGTCAGTGCAACTATCAGCATCTCATCTCCTTCCTTAAGGGGAGCAGAAATCATATCGGTCCCATCACAAGCCCCATGGCAATAATCTATGCATTGTAGATCCACCGCCCTCTGAAGGGCTTTGGGGAGGGGCTGGAGGAGGAGAGCAGTTACTCTGGTTGCAGAGGTTAATGGCTTTCCCTGTGTGAATGTATGTGCTAGCTAATCATATTTGATAATTCTGCCATCCCAGCATGTCATCTCTCCTGTCATTTCCCATTAGTGTCCTCAGACAAAGGCTCCTGATTCATCTTTAGCCAGGCAGCAGGCTGACACATGCCTCTTTACTCACAGCTTTTGGGACTTCAGGCAGCATTTGTTTCATGGTTAACCCTTTCTGGCTTGCTCCAGTACCCTGCTAACTGCCCGTGGGTCCATGACACTGCTGCAAGACAGGGGACTCTCTCCATCTGGGCACAGGTACCTCTGCTGCATTGATGGGGTAGTTGATTCAAAACCTGAACTCTAACCTGACTCCTAACAAGGAATACCTGTTTGGTGGAACACTTGTGACTTGTTACTATCAGAGTCACCTCTTCAGTTAAGTGGCTTTTCTGACCTGAAAACTTCGATCATTTTCTTTTCAACCTTTGCTGAGTTCCCTTATCCCGGGCGTAAGTGTTATGGAGCCCTTCTCTAAATGGGCATTCCACTCAACATCCCCATACTGGTCCTAATTATAATACAGCCATCCCACCATGCGTCTTCAGTGAGGGTGATCAGAGCCACATCTCCCCCTGCTA